ACTGGAGAACAGAAACTTTGCTTATCGCATAGCCGCAGTCGATTATTGCTTAAAAGTAAAGCATTCCTGAGTTATGACATGAAAATGGCGAGCAACTTCCCTCACCATTAAACTCAAGAAAATAAGAGTGCTAGAATTATGCCCTATCATGCAAGTGTAATGAAGACTTTCCAACATTACCGACATTCTAACGGCTACAAACTTTCCTCTTCTTACTTTCATAACCACTGTAGATTGTGACTAGTATGCACCCCGTCTGAAGCGTCGTCTGCTAAGCAGACGTGTAGTGTTGAACTTGACACTGGTCGTCACTAATGCGCAAATCTTGACAACAGAAGGAAGCAGAAAAAAGAATAGCAACAGAAACGTCAGTATGTCATTGGCAGTCAAGTAAAGGATTCGTTTTCCAATATGCAGAGACAAACAAGAATCATTCCGTCAACCCCTACGAAAAAACCAGGTAATAAGATGACCGTTGTGAAGAAAACAAGAATTCGACAAGACGATAGAGAGATGACATTAAACAGTAGATGAGAAAAAAACTTTAAGACTTTTTTGGCTTTAGTTTACTTCAGTATAATTCAAACGGAATAATTATGCATGGAGCACCACCGTTGTATGTGAAATTCAAATTCTTGTAGAAGGAAACTAAAAAATTTAAAGGAACATGGTAGAAAATCAAACGACATAACTGCATATCAATGAAGATGACAAGACAACCTTAGTAACAACGACAGTTAGTTCATTATTAAGCACCGAGCACTATCATGGTTCTCTAGCATGTACGAAAGAGTTATGGGTAAAAGTTCGTGTTATACTCTGTACGGCTATCTTTGAGGCTAACGTCAAACAAAGAGCATGAAGGTATACAAATTACTTGTCATTCACGACGCAAATGATGTTCTTTCAGTGTAACAAAGCTTCAACCGCCCTCAGCGATTGGGCTAACAAATTAAATAACCGACTGAATGGGTAATCACTATTTATGCGTACGTCACGGTGATGAGTTCTTAAACTTGTGAACCTGAATGACAACAACTGAAAGCTTACCGATCCTGCAGCTGCACCAGCTGAAACATGTCTGACGAATATTGCCGAACTACCAACCACGTAGTAGTTATCATACGATGCTAACGCAGCCAAGCAGGCACCTGCGGTAAAAAACAGCAGAGTCCATATAACGTAGTAGACCATTTCCTGAAGTAAAAGAACGAGATCAATTTAAAGCATCGATGTAACCGTAAAGTTCAAACTTCATAAGAAGTCTGATTATTCACTAAGTCACATATTTTCTGAACGGATCATGAACCAGCAATATGTTCTAGTTGCTTTTACAAACAGTGCGTAATTACATATTTATCAACACGGTAAGCGTACTGAATATTCTACGATATTAGCGTCGAATGCATAATCTGTTAACTTAATACAATAATACCTATGTTCATCTTAGTCAAGGTCGCGTTATGGCACAGTGACTAAAAGGTCAGCTTCGAACTCCGAAGATGCCAGGTTCGATACTGCCGAAGAGTGATCCTTACCTTAAACACGACAGCTCATACGTCAGGAATTTACGAAACGTTGCTTAACACTGGCGTTGTTCAGTCGCAAGAGCTTCGGACTCAGAAATGACAGGTCTTGTATTTGTGCACCTCAGGTCACTTGCCCTTCCTCATTCTGAGGTCGATAAATGAGTTCTATTTTGAAGGAAAGAAATAGGAGACTGCGCAGTACACTTGCCACAGAGTTGCTGTACACTCTGCTTCTAAAATAAGGCACTGCTGGCCGATGTCTTGAAAATGGAGATCAGCGACTCCACTATTAACCTTATGAAAAGAATAGCGTCATCTTGCAATTGTGAAGAAGTCTGACATTCCTTCAGAGTCATTGATGGTGGGTAATGACTGAAAAACGGCTGAAATGGGTTTTCTGAGACAGGTTGCTTGCTCGTGTTCCGATACATGTTCCGGAGTAGAGATATCTGAGAGAGTGTTTGTATACTCACTACTTCTCCAGATTCAGAAGTAACTACTGTGATAGCTTAAGGACGTCTTGAGAACGATTCAAAATGGAAGGCGAAACAGCTACTACTTGCTTCCGATCAGCCGAAGACAGTTAAAGGGACCAGGAACGCTGGATCACCGTCTTCCGCCGCGAATCCAAAAAAAAGCTGTCATCGAAACCGTCTGACTTATGTAAACATTAACTACACTAAAAGAACCCGTTTCGAACCATTTCGTTTTGATGAATCGCAGACGTCGGTGAATTACACGATATGTAACATCATGGCGTGTCGAAAAACCAATCACTTGCACAGTAGTAAATTCAGTACAATAATAACATTGCGAAAGAGGCCCAAATGTAAGAACTGAACATAAGGGTAGCTTGTAAAACTTTTTTAAAGCAATGCAGGTACACTACAGATTGAGAACATTAGGGGAAGGGGAACAAATGGTGAACCCTAACTTTAAAACGAACTGCTCTGGGCCATTAGCACCGTCGAAATTCGTCAAAAACAGAAAACGTGTAGAAAAAATCAAAATACTAACGATTACTGAAACAATTAACTGATTAACGTATAATTCATACGTTTCATATCATATCATACTCCGTTAGCTGTTCATGAAGAACTAATACCGCAGGGACGAAACCATGGAGCAGACTGAAATGTAATCTACCGGACGAAATCCCAGAATATTCAGCAATGGACGAGCCTTCGAAACGCTAACTTCCATAAAACTGAAGAAAATAAGACCTACGGCTGATATTAAACCT